TTTCTTACGTTTTAGTGTAGAAGTGACAATCTAGTTTCTTAGCTTAACGCTGAGCAGTTGCCACGTCTAAAAGGCCTGATTCAGGTTTTCAGTTTTATTAAATAAACAAAATGCAGGAAAAAAGAGAAAACTATAAGTTAAAAGATTCAATGTTGTAGTACAGAATGATTTTTTGTTTGTTTTTTTAAACAATATGTACAATATTAGAAGATTAAAAAGTTAAAAAGATTCAACAATTTTGTAGCAAAACATCTGTACATTTATCAAAGTTTTTTTTTTCATTTATATTTTTGCTTTTAAATAGAATTACACATCACAAGAAACTTGAATTTTCAATTGTGCAGGTCATTATTGAACCACACAGCATTCAGTTTACATAACCGGCCTTATTTCCCATGATCTGACCAAGAACAAGAAGCAAACCCAGTAACAGAAACTGAATTCTCTAAGGAACCTGATCTTGCGTATGAAGAAAGAGTGCCGCAGGGAAAGTCACCTGTCGATTACCACAGACAACATGTTCAACCCCTTGTGAATTAAACAAGATTCCATTTACAATAATGCACTTCTATGGGGCAAGTGTAATAGGGTTTAAAAGCAGGCATACTGTAAAGCTTTAAATTAGATTATTTAGGGGTGCAAACCGCAGTTCCTGGAGGGACACCGCCCTTGCAGAGTTTAGTTTAACCCTAATTAAACGCACCGGATCCAGCTCATCAAGGCTAAAGTCAAAAAACGGTCTTCGATGTGGAAAAGTGTTTAGCACCATGTCAAGCTGTAAGCAAATGTAAGCCTACGCACTTTTCCCAGTGGCAGAGTCGCAGTACTGCAGGTATTTGGAAATCGAAGCCTTTCTTGCCGATCGCAGTTCTCAAGTGAAGGATTTGGAAACTGACTGATGCACTCTTAAAGTAGTTCACTTTTGAAAAAACTTTTGCTGATAATTTACTCACCCCCATATCATCCAAGATGTCCATGTCATTCTTTCTTCAGTCAAAAAGAAATTAAGGTTTTTGATGAAAACATTCCAAGATTTTTCTCCATATAATGCACTTCAGTGGGAACACTTCAAGGTCCAAAAGACACTTTCAGTACAAACTGCAAACTGTTCAAAGGGCTTTAAACGATTCCAGACGATGAATAAGGGTCTTATCAAGCGAAACGATCGCTCATTTAATAAATAAATAACAAAGTTTACGTTTTATAAGCTAAAATGGTCGCCTTGCTCTGTTCTGTTTGTGACTCTCCTGTTCGAACTCATTTATCAAAATGAACAAATCTTTTTCCGAGTCATTTGGTTCATTCAATGAATGAAACGAACAAATTGACTCGGAAAAAGATTCGCTTTTATTTTGATGAACGAGTTCGAACAGGAGAGTTACGAACGCGCAGTACAGAGCAAGGTGAGCGTTTTAGCTTATAAAACTTAAACTTTGTTTTTTTTTGTTTTTTTTTTAATGAGCGATCATTTCACTTGATAAGACCCATATTCATCGCCTAGAAGCGTTTAAAGCCCTTTGAACAGTTTGCAGTTTGTACTGAAAGTATCTTTTGGATCTTGAACCGTTTGGTTACCATTGAAGTCCATTATATGGAGAAAAATCCTGGAATGTTTTCATCAAAAACCCTAATTTCTTTTCGACTTAAGAAAGAAAGATGTGGGCATCTTGGATGACATGGGGGTGAGTAAATTATCAGCAAAAGTTTTTTGAAAAGTGAACTAATCCTTTAAGCGTAGTATTGCTGGTTGTAAGATCGGTTTTAACAGACAAGATTGTAACTGATTCTATTACAGTCGTCAAGTTAGCATGTAATGCTAATCTTGAGGTTTTACTCTATTTTTTATACAGTATGTACTCCTGTGGAAAGTCTTGCCCCATATAAACTGCCCTTTTAAATGCATTATTGTAAACAAGATTTCTGCTTGTTTTTACAAACTGAGAAGTTAGTTAGTTTACCAGTATAGAACATGGAACAGTAATTAGTCAATAAAATGAACTTGAAGTCTCTTTCCAGAATTCTCTTAAAGGCCGATGAAGTTCTTGAATTTTACTTCTACACTTTGGTTTATATCGTTAACAAACCCTCAGTTTAAGGACCAACGCCTACAAGCAGTAAAGCTTGAGACTCGTGAATGTGAGGCGCTGGAGTTCTAGAGCCTCTGGCTTCTATTTCACATTTGCTTTAGTTGCATCAATCCTTTCTAAAAATAGCCTTTCCTGACACCACCTCCTACTTAACTGAACTCTCTCTCCATCTGCGCACACGAGCTCACAGTGACCCCACCATCACTGGGATCGACTCTTCTGATCAGGGTGGTCGATCAGTCCAACAGACGACTGACTAGTCAATGTTTATAGAGATTTTTAAAGGGCCTGATTCAATACCCACACGTGATCTTTGCACTTCCCACTTGTTTACTTGAATTTCCCGCATTTTGCCTGTGTTCAAGTGGGTGTGAAGTTTGCAAGTGTGTTTTGATAACTTTTGATTACTTGATGGGACACTTTTTTCAGTACTTTAGTTTTTTTTTTTCCTGACATCTCAAGTTCTGTGAGTTCCTTAACATAACCTTTTTTTTACATAAAAAAAACTTTGTTAAAATACAAAGTTTTAGAGAGAGTGTGGATTTAATGTGTGTAAAGGACACTTGAACATTGCCATTTTTCAACCTGAGACAGTCCCTTGTGCTTCCTGTTGCATGTACCCACTATCAAGTAGCCAAGACCACAAGAGAAGGTATTGGGACAGGCCCATCATATATTTTAGTTGTGGTGCTTTAAAATGGATGAAAGGGGTCTGCAGTGATGATGTATTTTTGCAGGCCAACCCAGAAGTTAGCATGGTTCCCTTGATAAACAGGATTTTTCCAGGACTTTTAGTATTATTGCAGAAAACAAGCTCTGTAACCAACAATAGCTTGATTCTTTCACGTTTCTTTCATCATGAGAATCTACACAAATTACTTTTAAAGCCTGAATACAATTTCCAGAAGTAAACAAACTTCACTATGGTCACATGACTATCAACTGTTTTAGTTTTTATTTAAAAACATTTTTCCTGAATGTTTGAGTTGGAACAGCTGGCATGAGTATAAGTACATTGAGGCCATAAAAGCAGACTAGTGAGAAGATGAGTTTACCTGTTCGCCGCTGACAAACACTTCAGTCCCATTTAGTCTTTTTCAAGACAAGTAAAAGTTTTTAAAAACTGATGCGTTTTATGTAGAGTAAAATGTAAAAAAATGTCTTCCGGTTCCATAAGGGTGACGGACCCAGAAGCAGTGTTGTAGTCGAGACCACCTCACTCGACACCGAGACCAGAGAGAGTCGAGTCCGAGACCAGAGACGGTCGAGTCCGAGGCGAGACCGAGACCAGTGAGGGTTGATTACCTAATTTACTTTTATTTACTTAGAGAATGGTTTTTTTTTTTAACTGAATTTACTTAGAGTTTAAAAAATATGATCAGTTTAGGGTAAAATGGCCACATAGTAGGTGGTGTTAAAAGTAATTTTATTACAATTTGTCATGCGCAGTTGCGCACTAGAAAATCACCAATCACTGGGCGTGTCAATCAATTTAAAGAAATATTTTATTAACATACATTAATAATCATGAAAAATATTTTGAATTGAACTCGAGTGGACTCGGGAATAATTCCGAGTCCTAAAAAAAAAAAAATGTTCGAGTACGAGACAATTCCGAGTCCAAATGGACACGAGTCCATGACAAGACCAAGACCATTAAAATATGGTCTCGAGACGAGTCCGAGACGAGTCCGAGTCTCGAGTACTACAACACTGCCCAGAAGCGTTAAAATGCTAACTCATTTCTTGGTTTTGGCCTACAAAAATAGGTCATCCATGTAAGACTATTAAGAGACGTGACCTCTCTGATACCCCTTTTCCACCACAAAAAGAACTGGTTCGGAACTGGAGCTGGTTCGGAGTTGGTTCAACTTGCGAACCGCTTCGGAATTTCTTTTTTCCACTGACTAGAGCGCCCAGGGAACGACGTCGTTACGTCACTGTGTACGTCGCCATACGTCTTAGCTAGAAACGCTTGCAAATACAACATTACTTTGGGATTATCTCTAACTCGTGTACCAAGAAAGCTTAAAAAACAATTGAAATATGTAAGTCTTTTAATCTTTTCGTTTGATATGTATTTTTTTCTGAAGTTATGTACCCCTGTAATTGTGTCTTTTTTTCTTTCCATTTATTTGTTCTATATTGTGACTTTTCTTCTTTGCTTATGTCTTCAATAAATTTTTTTTTACAAAAATAGAAACGCTTGCGTTAACTTCAAGCATAACAATTACAAAGGCGGACTCCATCGTGTTTCTGCAAATGTTTCTCTTGGCTTTGCGTTCCTTTATTATGGTCAGAAAAGATGTTTACAACACATCTAAACCCGCCTCAGCCCCTGACGTAAGCATGACGTGGTAAAAGAAGCAAAGAGTTGGTGCCGCTTTGGAACCAGTTCTCCTGGCCGAGAACCGGTTCTTTGGCTGTCGAAACACAAAGAACTGGTTTGCGCGCAGGCAACGGCTCCGAACCGGCTCTCAAAATGCTTTGGTGGAAAAGGGGCTTGAGAGGATTTTAGCACGCTAACACTCAACCAGTGCTCTCTCAGCACGGTAAAACCCTCTTTCAGACGCCACGTCTCCAAATTCATCCTTTATAGCACCATTTGTGTAACAAATTCATCAACAACACTTTAATACTTCACTACTGGACTTCAAACCACCTTCTGTGAGAAATTTTCTTCACTGTTATTATCTTTGACCATCGAGTCACACATAATGCAGCATATCATGCCGTCGACATTGCATTATTACAGCATTTAACATAGTTAACTTTTCAAAATGCTCCTCAAGCTGGATTCCAACTTATTGGGCTCCTTCTGTTTTTCTTTAAAGACAAGAATGTGCACCATGTGACCAGCCCGATAAAAAACAGGGTCTGACGGACCCTATGCAGGGCTTCTTTAAGACCGACTAGTAGATTAGCCATTCAGAGAACGCACGATTGGTCGATTTTGATCTGTGGCGAAAGCACTGGAATGTAAGAGGCCTTTGTAAAGGTTCACGATACATAAAGTGTTGGAACAGTTTTACATTCTGACACTTTCTTGAGAAAAACACTGATCTCACCATCTACGATTTAAGCGCCATTGGATAAAAGACACTGTTTGTCATATAAAAAAATCACAGACAGAAGACTATGACTAAAACACATGTATGATTCAACACCTGATGGGACAGGTGTTAAATATAGGCACTTGACTTTCAGACCTGCTGTCATCTGCATCAATCCTTCATTATTTTGTTCGGGAGCAGTTAGCTCCACCTCCACTCCTCCAGCCCATCCAATCACATCCCCTTTTCCCTCGTCACATGACCATCTCTGCACTGTTGATTGGCCGCAAATTCTGATCATCAAATCGTCTTCGGACGCTCCTCCTGACGGCGTCAGCGCGCCTGTACGGCTGGTTTCTCAGATCTGATACGGGAGGAACATAATAAAACAACGTCAGTCGCTGAGTTCAGATCTTCTGGACATGCTGGTGGTCAACTGGGCAAAGCAGCTTGAGTTTTTACTGGCCTGAGTACTAGAGCTATATTTCAGCTTCTGAATTAAATGGGAATGGAAACACTGACACTAAATTGTGTTGGACAAGGTTGTTGGGAAAACACTGACCGAACGATATGGACGTCACATAAAAAGTCTGAATGTCACTGCATTATATAAACACGCGTGTCATCTTGTGTTGCAGGAACTTCACTTTTCTTCATTTCTTTCATCAGTTTTTAGTGGCTTTATAGTATTCACGTAGTTCCCACAGAGGGCCACTGTCCTGAGTTTAGCTCCAACCAGCTCTAAAACCCCTGCCTGGAAGTTTCTAGTAGACCTTTATAAGCGGGTTCGGGTTTGTTTAATTAGAGTTGGTGCTAAACTCTGTAGGACAGTGTCCCTCCAAGAACTGAGTTTGACACCCCTGCTCTAGACAGTGCAAGCTGATTGGTCCTTTAAATGTAAACTGCTAGCAATCACACCATTTACTGCATGCACAAGCTGATCGGTCTTTGATGATTTAGCAGCCTCAACATCAAAATAGTCTGGTTCATTGTTTGCAGTAAGCTAGTTCTCCTCTGAAACCCTCCGCCTTTGATGATTTAGCAGCCTCAACATCAAAATAGTCTGGTTCATTGTTTGCAGTAAGCTAGTTCTCCTCTGAAACCCTCCGCCTTTGATGATTTAGCAGCCTCAACATCAAAATAGTCTGGTTCATTGTTTGCAGTAAGCTAGTTCTCCTCTGAAACCCTCCGCCTTTGATGATTTAGCAGCCTCAACATCAAAATAGTCTGGTTCATTGTTTGCAGTAAGCTAGTTCTCCTCTGAAACCCTCCACCTCCCCCAGCTCTGCTATGGCAAGGGTCTCCAACCCTGCTTCCTCAAGAGCTACCATCAGTTTCAACCCTGCTCCAACACATCTGCCCGAAATGTTCAAGTAACCCTGAACACCTTAATTATCTGGTTCAGATGTGTTCTGATTGGGGCTGGAGCTAAACTCTGCAGATCTAGGGTACGTTTACACGACAACGATATGCTTAAAACGGATAGGTTCTTCCTTTGAGTTATCAAAACCGCTAAAAACCCTGTATTCTGCTGCCAGGCCACTAGATGGCAATGCAACACTATAGACTGAACACGTAATACGTATGTGTATGACGTCATCATCTTCAGAGATTTGCGTTTTTGTTGTTTACACAGACACAGTTTTTTAAAACTTGCACTTTGAAACCCGTTTCAACGCCGTTGTCGTGTAAACGAGCGGCCAAAAAGCATAAAATGTTTTACGCTTTTAGTTGAATAATAACATGACATCAGGACTTGTGCGTAAACATACACGCCACTTTCAAGTGATATGGCATGTTATCTATACGCATTTTGAGCTATCCGCGTGTATATCTACGCCGTTAATTGTCCAAGTGATTCCGCGTATATGTACACGCCGTTAAATGTCCGAGTGATTCCGCGTGTATGTCTACACCGTTAAATGTCCAAGAGATGCCGTGTGTATGTACACGCCGTTAAATGTCCAAGTGATTCCGCGTGTATGTACACGCCATTAAATGTCCAAGTGATTCCGTATGTATGTACACGCCGTTAAATGTCTAAGTGATTCCGCGTGTATGTACAGGCCGTTAAATGTCCAAGAGATTCCGTGTGTATGTCTACGCCGTTAAATGTCCAAGTGATTCCGCGTGTATGTCTACGCCGTTAAATGCCCGAGTGATTCCGCGTGTATGTACACGCCGTTAAATGTCCGAGTGATTCCGCGTGTATGTACACGCCGTTAAATGTCCGAGTGATTCCGCGTGTATGTACACGCCGTTAAATGTCCGAGTGATTCCGCGTGTATGTACACGCCGTTAAATGCCCGAGTGATTCCACGTGTATGTCTACGCCGTTAAATGCCCGAGTGATTCCACGTGTATGTCTACGCCGTTAAATGTCCAAGTGATTCCGCGTGTATCTACATGCCGTTAAATGTGGGGAGCGATATTTTTTTTCCTAGGATGGTAGGGGAAGACTCATAAATGCTATTAACCCCAGTGACGGGTAGGTTTAGGGACGGGGTTGGGGTAGGTCATATATTTATAGTAATGCAACGCTAAGTCAACGGCGTTCATAAACACGCTGAAAAGCGATTATGCGTGTTGATAGCACGCCAAAAATGGAAATAAGAATTGACGTGTCATAAATACGCCATTTCATGAGATCAGCCTGTTGAAAACCGTGTCGTGTAAACAGCCAAGTTTCACAAATTCCAAACAAATTTACATTGTCATATCCATAACCTTTTTTTGTGTTATAAACGTTTTGACATTTAATGCAATGACATTCTGACATTTTTAAAGTGTTCATTTGGGGGCAGTGTACCAACTACATAAGCTCAACTCAAGGTTTTAATGAAGACTGCACTATCTCTAAGTGTGGGCCAGTTCAACATGAGACTGTGTTTCTCGGGTCACAGCATCACCTAATCAAACGCATTTTCTAATCAAATCAGTTCAACGGGTGAACGTGAGTCCCTGGAGACTCGGCCCTTGAGGCTCAGACATCAATAGGTGTGTTAAATAGAACGACAGATAGAAGGAGAACACAAAAACATGGCTTTTGAATTCAGTGTCAAAAGATCTAGTGGAGTGAGAAGAATGAAAGATAAATAATAATAAAGAGAGATGCTTGCCAGGTCTGAGTAGCATCCAGTGGGGTACTACTGGAAGAGTTCCTTACCCTCCAGTGCACATTGGGAAATTTAGTAATATTATTCTTCTTTAAGGCTGAGTGGAGAGGAAACAAAAACGGAGGTTAGAGTGGAGCAGAGTGGACCAGACACAGCGAGAAAAGCTGCCCAGGGCTCAAAGAGGAAAGAGGAAAGGTCAAAGGTCAAAGGCAGGCGCTGTAGGGTGTTACTGAAGCGCTGCTGATACTGCAGTAATGAACTCTATGACTCAAGCTGCTCTGCACAATGGCTCCAGCGTCCAGATTCAGTACAACAAGGCAAAAACTGACGTCTGCATGGTCACTTCATTTTTAAACAGTGAAACCAAAGATAATGTGCCAAGCCTCCCAGAAGTGCATTGTTATAAGGCAGGACATACAGTAAGTTAAGCTGAAGCAGGTATGGTGGAAACTAAATGCAATGATATGGTGAATCTCAAGAAAACACGTCATCCCAGTCATATTTCATAATACTAATGATAATAAAATGTGTATTTAGCTTAACGAGGATATGGAAGCTTGTTTCCACCACAGAATAAAACATTTTAGCAGAGAACTACGACTTTTTACCAAACAATTTCGAATTTACATATTGCAATTGTGACGTTATATCACAAAATTCTGACACAAACAAGTCTGAATTACGAGATGTAAACGCAATCGGGAGGGAAAAAAAAGATAAAAAGTAGCAATTACCTTTTTTATTTTTTAATCTGTGGCGAAAATAAGCTTTCATAGGAGGAAGCCAAGATTTAATACCAATAATATTTCCAATATCTTAACTTTTTCATGACAAGCAAGCACTTTGAGCACTCTTGTTTTTCATTTTACAGTAATGGAAATGAAGGAAACATGCTAAATTGTCATGAAAATACAACACAAAAACTTGTGCTAAAAACTTGATTCACTAATAATATTAGGTTTTTATTTCTTTTTCATTGTTGAGGTTAAAAATATGACTTTTTTAGACCTTTTTGGTGAGATTCAACATTATATTTGGCTTAAAAAAACACCCCATGCAAATGCATATAGTCAGTGAAGCAAATGAACCAAACATGCTTAGAAGAGGAATACATCTCAACATGCTTCATGCAGCAAGTTAAACACACATGAAACACAGGAAGTCCCTGAAATCAGAACTTCCCATCAGAGCAGAATAAGATGGAGGAAGAGTGAAAAAATGCAGAAAAACAGCATAATGCCAATGGGCCCCAAAAATCAATGACAATATATGAAGAGTTCAGATGCAAAAGCCTCTAAATGCCATTTGAAATTTTCTTCTAAAATGACAATTTTTATCATGCTTGTATATTTAAGTTGGGTAATTTCACTTAAATGACAATTAATAGGTAATCTTCATTGTCATTTAAGTGAAATTACTTTACTTAAATATACAAGCTTGATAAAAATGATCATTTTAGAAGAAAATTTCAAATGGCACTTAGAGGCTTTTGCATCTGAACTCTTCATATATATATATATATATATATATATATACACACACAAACACGCTCACATTGACAAATGAACACATGAGCAAAACATAATGTCACAAATCATGTCCAAAATGCCAGTGTTACAAACATGACAATAATTGCCATAAATTCGACAGATACAAACTCACTAAGCTTACAAATACTGTGGTCTTTTTTGCCTATAATAATTTAAATATGAACCTATGTTCAGTAATATTTTGAATTTGTTTTTTTTTATGTAGTATTTATATTTAAATTTTAAAGTTTTTGTAATGTTGTTCCATTTTTGTCATTGCCTTTGTTTTAATTGTTTTGTTGTCTATATAGTTTTTATTTTAGATTTAGATTTTTTAGACTATCAAGTTAAACTAAATGAAATTAAGTTTAAGTATTTTTAATGTTTATTTCATTTTCATATAACAAGTGTGTGTCTGTCTGTGAAATTGGAATGACCCATATGGGATTTCTATGGGAGTTTATTTGTGGACTCTCGTCTGTGTTTAAACTGCAGGGGGAGCCACAGTGTATTTGCTTTTTTCAGAGAAAAACTGCCACAGAAGTTTAAACCAATACAGGCCAAGCATTCAATTGAAATGTGCAGAGAAACACTGGTGTGTTTGGCTGTTTGTGACATATTTCCACTCATTACATTTCTGTTACAATGATGAATATGAATGTATGACACTCCATGCAAAAATCTGTGATGACATCATGTGCTCCACTCCCCAAACCCCCCTTCATGCAGGAGTTTAGTTAGAAAAGAAATCAAAAATGAACACGCCCATTCCATCACAACCATACGTCGGCCCACGGGGAAATAAAACCAGGAATGTGAAGCGTGAAGGGGTGCACACACACACACACAGAGGGGGAGAATGAAAGATAGCAGCTTTATCCAGCGACCTGAGAGAGAGAGAGAGTCTAAGCTTTAGAAGTGGAGCTCCTCGTTGAAGTAACGCGAGCTGCGTTTGGCTGTGCGCGCAGTAAAGGGGGCAGTCTTCAGCACTGCGTCCAGATGAAACACACACGACACAAACAAGCCAGAGCAACAAGCACAATGTTAGCACTTTCTACACACATCGGCACACTAGCATAATCACATGGTACTAATAGCTATTATATAAAGATGAAACTATTTTAATATGGATTACATACATGCCTAGAATAGAAATGCAGCCGTCAAGAGGATTACACATGTTACAAAATATACATTTATGTTACATCATATAATTATCTTCTTAAATATTTGGCCCATTATAGAAAATCAGTTTTTTTTTTCATAGTTAAAATTTAAATTAAAAACATAAAGGGGTCATATTACTGAATTGGAATAATTCTCAATGAAAAGAGAGCTTTTATTAAAATGTATTAGTATTTACAAAAAACAAAACAAAACAAAAAACACACAAAAAAAGATGCTTTTCAAACCTTCGCAATTGTTTATGATTTTAACATCTCAATGATCTTTATTGTAGATTAAAAGATATTTCAGTTTAGATGGCTAATTCAACACTGCATGGTCAGAATGGCTTTTGATAAAACTTTCTATCTATGCGGCAGACAATTCCCTTTTGCCCAAAACTTCAACACACATAATTCGATTCTGAACGTCTGCAGGCAGGAATACAAAAATGCAGAAGTTCGATTTGTAGATGAAGCAAAATGAGGCTTTTGAGTCAATTAAGTTAATTAATTAAACAAAATAAAATTAACAAAAACTTTACAACTATATAAGATGTGTAAGTATATGCAACTTAATTATATATATATATATATATATATATATATTAGGGATGTGCAAAGATTAATTGCCATTAATTGCATCCAAAATAAAAGTTTGTGTTTACATAATATATTTGTATGTGCTGTGTATATAAATACACAAACATGCATGCATATATTTAAGAAAATGTGTTATCCATATATTATATTTATATATATAATATATATATATATATATATATATATATATACAGTATTTACGTCCAAATAATTCTTACGTATATATACATGTATGCATATGTATTATTATTTTGTATATGTATACACACATATATTATGTAAACACAAACTTTTATTTTAGATGCGATTAATCGCAATTAATCTTTGCTCTGCCCTAATATATATATGTAAAGCAAATAAGCGATATATACTGTACTACAATATATAATAAATCTCAACTGCTTGATTGCTTGTATTATTACAGTACATCAGTAAGCAATAAGGTATGAGAGGCTGTGCTGTATCGTGAATAAGTAACGGCTGAAGGGCGTTGTTAGGCCTGACGCGAAGCGGAGTAACCCCTTTCCACGAGTATCTTGCTTTTATAAAATGGTTACCACACAATACAAATAATAAAAGTAAAAAAATATGTATTAGTGCAACTTTCATGAAGTAAAAGTTACTAAAAGCCTTCCTTCCGCTAGAGAAAAAAAAATAGTCCCTCACCGTGAACAGTGTCCCAATGTGTAATATACATGAAAGCTCAGATAAACACAACATAGGAACCGCAGTGTTGCGCAGTGATAAGAACCGTTGGGTGAAGCGGTCATAGCTGTGTTTTATCATGAATAAAGCACAGCTATTGGCCAATCAGAATCAAGGATTGGAACTAACCGTTTTATAAACTAGATTATCGACCAGCTGTAATATGACCCCTTTAAACCTACAGTAAACAGTGTTTAGTAGCCGCACTCCAGCTCAGAGCTGCAAGCAGCAACAGCACACATTCAGCTCAGTACATTGTTATTGATCAGTAAAGCTTTCCACCAGTCACAGAGAGCTGGTTAGTGGCTAAACTAACACGTTACAGAAGTCCTAATGTTTTATAGCTCGCTGCATGCAGAACACTAACAGGATGAGGCAAAAGCTGAACACTGTGTGTTACCTGTGATAATGTCCTCAATGGCTCCGTCTTTACCCTCATACACATGTCTGCTGTCCTTCACCTGCTTCTTCCTCAGCTCTGCGATCAACTCCTGCTGCTGACGCTTGTTCTTATGAGAGGGAGACTGAACACACACACGACAATTACAATTAATGCTGTCATTAAAGGAGCTGTATGTAAGATTGTGGCCAAAACTGGTACTGCAATCAGTTTCAAAATACTGTAAAGCAGTGTATCCCCTACCCCTCCCCCCTGTCTTGAGGTTGCCAGATAGGCTGCAGGATCCAACATTTTTATCCCTCACGTGTGTATCTGCAACTGTGGTAACTAGAGCAGAGCTGGCAACCCGAATGCTGCAACACTACTGACTTCGTGATTGGTAGATCAGTGGAAGGTGGAGCATCAGACCAAAACACAACATGACAGTTGTGGTTGCAACTTCACTTTTTAAATGACAATATCCTGGCCGGACTGCTGTTGTCAGTGATATAAGTATTTGAAATGAACATGATTTCTTAATGTCTAGTGACATATCAGGACCGTTTTATGATTATTTGAAATAAATTTCTTACATACAGCTCCTTTAAAGACTGTAATTAATCTGCAAATATTTCCACACGCTGGGTTTGCATGTTTATGGGGACATTCCATGGACATTTTTTATCCTATACAAACTGTATCTGCTATCCCATAACCCTAAACCTACCCATCACACAAAACCTTCTGCATTTGACATAATTTAGTATGATTTATAAGCTATTTTCCTCATGAGGAAATGAGGGCATTCCATAAACTTGTCCCCAAAATAGGTTTTGTCAGATTTAGCTCACTTGGTATAAATTTGTCCCCAAAATATCGGTAAACGCACACACACTCGGGCCAAAATGAACTTTTTGTCAATCAAGGATGAACAAGAAAATATACTGAAATAAAATTTCTTACTGGCCATGACATCATTTAGATTATGATTATGATGGGCCATCACTGATGGATCATGAACCATGTTTGCGTTTCGGTTCCTAATAAAGTTTCTTGTAAAGTGTTTTATTTTATAATTATATACACTAAAAATACCCCCTGGTTAAACCCCACTAAAAGACTATAAACTAATAAAATAAAAATAATAAAAATATTCCAAATGATGTCATCCCTGGATTTAGATTTAGCTTTGATATTTAGTTTATTCTGGGGCCAGTTTTGCCCCCAAACAACAGTTGAAGAGTTCAGATGCAAAAGCCTCTAAATGCCATTTGAAATTTTCTTCTTTAATGATGATTTTTATCAAACTTGTATATTTAAGTTCAGTAATTTCACTTAAATAACAATTAATAGGTAATTATCATTGCCATTTAAGTGAAATCACTGAACTTAAATATACAAGCTTGATAAAAATGATCATTCTAGAAGAAAATTTCGAATGGCACTTAGAGGCTTTTGCATCTGAACTCTTCAGTTCCACTTCCCCGACACACACACACTCGCTCTCTCTATCCCTTTATTCTATTTGTACCTTCTGATCCTCTTGCTCCATCATAGCTTCTTGCTCAATCAGCTTCTCCATCATCATCTGCTCATGTCTTTTCCTCTGTTCATTATCCTCCTCTGCTTGCTGATGAAGGGAAAATACCCATCAGGCATTGGGAAGTCATGTTACATGAGTGATCAATGCAGGTACGGTTTATATACAACTGGAGGACGTGATTGGATGAAGTGAGACAGGTGATTTGTGATTGGTCGTTTTACCCGGTATGCTTTGACAAAGCGCACAAACACTGGGAAAAACACAGACGGTGGTGTTGTTTTGGCATTTTCTCCAAAGAATTTCACCACTTCATCAAAGGCATCCTGAGAGATTGAGATATGAAAAGACATAAGAGAGATAACCAACAACAAGAGAATCACATGTAGGCTAGTTACTGAGTCTTCAAATGTTACATTTTTAATTCCATTGTTGACGAAGATATAATCCCAACCCAAAGGATCAGATACACATTATATTATTTTGTTATTTCCCCTCAATATGACTCGAGCAGTTTAATCCAAGTCTTCCGAGGAGACACAATTGCGTAATATGATCAACAGGTTTATTTAATTGAGGCTTTTATTCATATCTAAACATTTATCAACGGCCATAGAGCAGCCTAAATAAACGAACCCTTGATTAGTTTAAAATGAGACATGTTGCAAACTCACACTCTAAAAAATGCTGGGTTGTTTTAACCCAATTGTGGGTCAAATATGGATAAACCCAGCCATGGGTTACACTTTTAACCCTCAGGTGCTCTTCGGTCATTTCTGACCGAAAAAATTTATGTTTTGAAAAGTTAAAAATCACAGCTTCATCGGAATGTTACGAAACTTGGTGACTTTTATTCCATTGGGTATGTGAACACACAAAAAAATTGAGGTCATGATCCGAGCATGCTAAGTGGTCGTAAAAAAAATAGTCACACTTGTACTCTTCGGTCAAAAATGACCGACCATAGGAAATGAATGGGAAATTGACAAACACAAAAACTTTGAGAATTTTTGTGTGTACAATCTACAAATCGCCCACGATGCAGAAAAAAAGTGAGTCACACTTTTGCTCTTCTGTCAAAAATGGCAACCCATAGGAAATGAATGGGAAATTGATACAAAAAAAAAATTCTCTGAATTTTTGTATGTACAATCTACAAATCGGCCACAATTCTAAAAAAAAAAATTACACCGCAAGAAAGGGGTGACACTCTACAACATCTAGAGTGCAAAATAGACACACCCACCAACACACACACACACATACAAACACACTTTTATACACATACACACCAATAAATTTTGATTACAAAAAGTATGTTTTGAATTTTTAAAAATCACAGCTTCATCGCGATGTTACGAAACTTGGTGACTTTTATGGCATTATTGTATGTGAACACACAAAAAAATTGAGGTCATGATCTGAGCATGCTAAGTGGTCTTAAAAAAAAAAAGTCACACTTGTGGTCTTTGGTCAAAAATGACCCCATAGGAAATGAATGGGAAATTGTAAAAAAAAAAAAAAAGAAAAAAAAATTGTGAATATTTGTTTTTTGTCATTTTTTTTATAAGAAATAGTTTTTGAGATTGTTTCAACTATATATACAAATCCACCAACAACAACAACAAAAAAATGTGTTCATAAACAGCTGGGGAATTCACATGCCTCTCAATAGAGAGCTGTACATGCCATCAAGTGGTTACACCATGATTCTACGCCTTTTCTCTATACTGTAACCAGATGGTGCTAATTTTCTTCAAAAAAATATTTTTATTCTGAAGGCCTAGACTCTATATTAAACTAAAATACTGCATTAATATTTTTTTGAAGAAAATAATATATATATAGAAAATAATATATATTTTTCTATGGCAAAAATAAACCATAAATATTGCATAAATATTAATAAATTCATTTAAATGGTCTCAAAATACTAAATTAAAAAGAATAAATATTATAGAACAAAAATAAATTGCATTGGTTTTACTGGGATGGAGAAAGTTTCATTTTTAGGTGTCCGGTCACTTTTGACCGGGAAGATAACAAGTGTGACTTCGAAACGAAGAGCACCTGAGGGTTAAATTACATTTTTATCCCAATGTTTGAGTTTGTCTATATTTGACCCAAAATTGGGTTAAAAACAACCCAACCCAGCATTTTTTAGAGCGCAGTTTCAATAAATGCTCTATTTGGACAGGGGAGGACAGTTATAGTGGGATTTCTTCATACAACAAAAGTTTTAATGTCAAAAGAAACAGAAAACGTGATTCCATCCTCAGTCTGACAGGTTTAATGAGTGTTTTGGGTCATGTATGTGCAGTGTCAGCGGCACCTGAGCGATCTTGGCATCATCCTGAAGTTTTTTGAGTTTATTCTCATTCTGCTGTATGAAGTCTTTGAGCATTGTGTTGTGGCCGTGCATGCTGTACTCTCTCCTGGTCAGATCCATCCCTCTCTGCATCTCCTTCACGTCTAACAAGACATTCTCTAGAGACACTGAGGAACACAGAGTTCATTTCCCTCAGATCATTTTGGACATGTTGTCAAAACTTGATGTGCGAGCAAATACGATCTGCCCTGCTTATTGTAAACATAATCAGATATGACACGTTTCATACCTGCGGCAGCTTTCTCCACATAGTTCAGGTCATTATAGAAGAGCGACACCTGCTGGTATTTTTCCTTCACTACATTTGCTATATAGTGCAGAAGAGTGACCTTGCGATCTGTTGATTTAGTGTCTAATAACTGGGAAAAGAAAAGTCCACTTAAACCCTCAAGTGTATGATTTAAATCACAGATGAATTATACTTATATTTTCATATACTTGCACTTTGTTATCATAAACAATGTTAGTCTAACATAATAATAGATGAAGGTCCACATCTGTCACATTGGTTTTAATGTCATTTCAAAATAGGCATGCTTAAATAACAATTACGATTGTAATAAAAAGGTGCTTTGTTGTCCATTCATAAATCATATGGATTTAACATACACTCACCTAAAGGTTTACTAGGAACACCATACTAATACTGTGTTTGACCCTCTTTCGCCTTCAGAACTGCCTTAATTCTACGTGGCATTGATTCAACAAGGTGCTGAAAGCATTCTTTAGAAATGTCCCATATTGATAGGACAGCATCTTGCAGTTGTTGGAGATTTGTGGGATGCACATTCAGGGCACAAAGCTCAAAGATGCTCTATTGGGTTGAGATCTGGTGACTGTGGGGGCCATTTTAGTACAGTGAACTCATTGTCATGTTCAAGAAACCAATTTAAAATGATTCAAGCTTTGTGACATGGTGCATTATCCTGCTGGAAGTAGCCATCAGAGGATGGGGACATGGTGGCCATAAAGGGATGGACATGGTCAGAAACAATGCTCAGGTAGGCCATGGCATTTAAACAATGGCTAATGGGCACTAAGGGGCCTAAAGTGTGCCAAGAAAACATCCCCCACACCATTACACCAACACCACCAGCCTGCACAGTGGTAACAAGGCATGAAATCAATGTTCTCATTTTCACCCACAGGACTGCCACATTCTGGATGTTTTTCCCTTTTCACACCATTCTTTGTAAACCCTAGAAATGGTTGTGCGTGAAAATCCCAGTAACTGAGCAGATTGTGAAATACTCAGACTGGCCCGTCTGGCACCAACATCCAAAATTGCTTAAATCACCTTTCTTTCCCATTCTGACATTCAGTTTGGAGTTCAGGAGATTGTCTTGACCAGGACCACAACCCTAAATGCATTGAAGTAACTGCCAGGTTGCTAGATAATTGCATTAATGAGAAATTGAACAGGTGTTCCGAATAATCATTTAGGTGAGTGTATAACAGTCAACATCTGAGTAAAAAAAAAACAAAAAAACAGTGAGCATGTAAATGTACCAGGTCTAAGCTCTGCAGTTTGAAGCCATATACCGCTCCTCTTTTACTGCTGTTCATGTAGTTTCCCAGAGCCAGGATGATCTGAGAGAGAAATACACGCTCAATAAAGACACTGACTCTGGAAGAAAATGAATCAAGACAGAAGTGAATCTCTTACTTCCAGAATCTTCTTGAGTTTTTGAGAGGACTTAATAGAGACAGAAGCTGCAATAACGGCATGAAGTTGCTGTTGAGACAAAAGTACAAGACAAAAAGGGCCCAAAATTATATTTATGCTCATTAAAACTAGATAATTTTCATAGGTTTTTTGCCGTGTAACGCATTACTAGTAATGTGAGTTACGTAATCAGATCACTTTTTCACATTAGTCACATATTATTTTTAAATTTACAACAAACTATCTGAATTACTTTTTCAAATAAGACACAAGTTACTTTGTTTTCACATTTATTGACTGACAGACTATTGAGAATAAAACAGGAGTAATGCTACACATGCTGAAAACTTTCTACTTCCCACTTTAGGGCATTGATGTCCAATATTTAAACTAGGAAACTAGTATTTCGGATAATTCCGATAGCATGTGAAGGCATCATTAGTGCAGAGGCGTTGTGTGCTCTGTGTGATCATAATGGTCATTTTAGTTCTAAATGTGAGCATGCATCATCTCAACAGATTTAGATTCGCCCTCAAAATTAATATAAACAGTCAAATTGCTCAAGTTTTCATATGTTAAATAACACACATATACTTTATGTATTTAATCTCACTTTATTAACCGTCTTTGCTGCTGACTTTTGATGCAATTTCAATTCAACCATACTAATAAGCAAAAATGACTATAGCTCAACATCACATTTGTGTTTAATTTTTCGTTTTTTATTGCTAAAGTAAGAGTTTTGAATTTTCATCTCCTGCATCCTATTCTTCAGCACAGCTAAAAGGTTTGTTTGAGTGGCGCCCTCTAATGGACAGGAGGTTCTTTTCGTGTAACATTTGCCAAAAATAACTTGTTGTTGTTGTTGTAAAAAACAAACAAGCCCAGTCCAGGTGAGAAAAAGTAACGCAAAAGTAATGTAACTAAAAGTTACCTAAAAAGTTACTAAAACAATTAGTTGATTTTTTAGGGAGTAACATAATATTGTAACGTAATACTTTTTAAAAATAACTTTCCCCAACACTGGTTAACAACATTAGTTAGCATAAACTAACAATAACAATTTTCATGTGCTCCTCTTACCTCTAAATATAATCGAATGGACCTGAGGTAGAATTAACCAACAATGAATTTGTATAAACTAATGTTAACAAAGACGAATAAATACTGTAACAAATGTATACCTCATTGTTTTGCAGTAACTATGCAATGCATTACCTAACATTATCTGGTGGGACCTTACTGTTAAGTGTTTCCAAAAATTGTGAAACATCTAAAGTGGTGTCATATGTCGCAAGTATTTATTTTTTTAAACGTTTTTAGATTTTATTCACTGCAGTGTTGACAGCAAAGTAAAATATCTATGAAATAAAACAGCTCACATAATATACCTTAAAAACTTTATTTTGCACTCTATTCATGGAAAGCATCATGCAAAAATAAGGCATATGAAAGAATTCAAGGGACCACGAGAGGGAAAGAAAAGGGGATCTGACATTTTGGGTTTGTGTGATCCACATGCGAGTCTAGATTAGTCATCTACATTTGCTTGGGTGATTTGAAGCGAATACTGGAAAAATCCTGCATAATTCTTGACCAAAAGTGTTGTCAGTGTGGTAAAGCAGCTCTGGGGTTGTGTTATTTACCGGAGTGAGCATCTGAACGCTCTCGGTGAAGTTCCCCAGGAATGCCATGATGGTCATCTTCTGCATGAGACGCTCGATCTTGCTGAACTGGATCATGAAGCGATCCTCGTCTGTCAGGTTCTCCAGAGGTTTGCGTTCCTTCTCGTACTGACGCAGAACTTTCAGCTCGGCTTCCGTTGGAATGAACCTCAACAAACACTCCACGAAATCCACAGGCAATGTCCGCAGGTCAAACCTTACACACACACACACATCAAAGCATTAACCTCACCAGAAACTGCTGTTTGGAGTCCACTATACAATTAAATAGTGATGAAAAATTTGCGAATCGAAGCTGCCCCTCTGCTTTATAAGTTAATAAGTCATTTATTTTCTTTCAACATATTAAATATGTCATTTTTTTGTAGTGTTTGGTACAGTGTTGTAGTCGAGACCACCTCACTCGAGTCCGAGTCGACACCGAGACCAGAGAGAGTCGAGTCCGAGTCAAGACCGAGTCCATAGAGAGTCGAGTCCGAGTCGAGTCCGAGACCAGAGACGGTCGAGTCCGAGTCGAGACCGAGACCAGTGAGGGTTGATTACCTAATTTACTTTTATTTACTTAGAGAAATCTTTTTTTTTTTTACTGAATTTACTTAGAGTTTAAAAAATATGATCAGTTTAGGGTAAAAAGGCCACATAGTAGGTGGTGTTAAAAGTAATTTTATTACAATTTGTCATGCGCAGTTGCGCACTAGAAAATCACCAATCACTGGGCGTGTCAATCAATTTAAAGAAATATTTTATTAACATACATTAATAATCATGAAAAATATTTTTAATTGAACTCGAGTGGACTCGGGAATAATTCCGAGTCCTAAAAAAAAAAATGTTCGAGTACGAGTCAATTCCGAGTCCAAATGGACACGAGTCCATGACAAGACCAAGACCATTAAAATATGGTCTCGAGACCGAGTCCGAGACGAGTCCGAGTCTCGAGTACTACAACACTGGTTTGGTATTCTTTCTCTAATTGTCTAATTTTATTTTCCAGTCCTAATTGTTCCGCAAGCCTCTCTCTTTTTAATCTGGATGACATCGCAATAATGTTTCCTCTCAGAACACATTTGGCTCCCTCCCATAATACTGATGGACTTACAGTCTCATTGTCATTAAATTGAATATACTCTAATATAGTATAATATAATATATAATCTAATATAACTCCTAATTTGTTGTTGAATCACTTCGTTATTTAGAATAGATACATTTGCTCTCCAGTACTTAAAATTATTATTTGGACTTTAACGTCAAAGAGACTGGAGCTTTAATGACGGCTTTAACGTCAAAGAGACTGGAGCGTGATCTGAGATGGTAATTGCTTCAATATTACACATAGTGATGAAGAATGAAGGGCGCTAATAAAGAGATGCTGGTGATCCCGTGTAGTGTACGTCGGCTGTGAATTACATTTGGATGGCTCTGCAGATCTCCTCTGATGTCTTGCCCACTTTTTTGAGGGTGATGGCCAGGTTTTTAGCCCTGTTGGAGTCCAGCAGTAAGATTTTGTTTGGTCCTTTCTGAGAGGTCTTCTGTTTGCTGGAGGTGAGGTCTATGGCTGGACCCTGTGCTTTCGTCTTAAACATCTCCTCAAACTCATCCACATTCAGATCCTAAACAGAAGAAACACAGTCACCATTGATAATTACATCCTGAGCTGTATATCTGATACCAGCCAGACTGAAATCCTAATGCAAATCAACATACGACAACAATTCAGTATATTGAGTATTAAGTTTGTGTATTAAAACATCTGTGCTGATTCATTTTATGTAATGCACTTGAATCCTCTATTGTCAAAAGTGTGGGGCCAGTCAGACATGCCAAGGTGCTCCGGAATATCCACCCATTCCTTCTATCCTAGGACACTCTTGTAGGTAAAAAAAATATTGCAGCATCAAGCAGTATCTAATGAGTCATATCACAGTAAAATTTTCCAAGTTTTGATTTTAGATTGGGAGAAAAATCTGATAAATCACCTGTCCACTATAGTGGACCTCATGCATCAATGGCTATATTTTAGCTACAATTTATACTTATACTGTGAATATTGTTTTTGAAAATACTTAATCTGCAGTGACTTTTTTTGACTGTAAATAAATGTAGTTGTATTATTAGAATGTAATTTTCACTGACATCTAAAAAAGTTATGTAATTACATAATTTGTGACTTGTAATGCATTACTTTACTCATTTCATCAAAAAGTAATCTAATTACGTAATGCATTACTTCTTAGATCAAAAAATATCTGTTTACCTATGTTTCTTTACTCGTAACATCAAAAAGTAATCTGATTACACAATGCATGTTACTTGTAATGCATTACTTGTTAGATCAAAATTAATCTGATTATGTAATGCATGTTACTTGTAATGCATTGTCAGATCAAAAAGTAATCAGATTATGTAATGCATGTTACTAGTAATGCGTTTCTTTATTCGTAACAACAAAATGTAATCTGATTACGTAATGCACATTACTTGTAATTAATTGTTAGATCAAAAAGTAATCTGATTAGGTAATGCATGTTACTTGTAATACATTACTTTACTCGAAACATTAAAACAAATCTGATTATGTAACTTCTAACACATTACCTTACTTGTAACATCAACCAAGTAATCTGAATGCGTTATGCCTGGCCCAACACTGCTCATTTCAGATGAGATTTTAAAAAATGTATCACTAGGTTTTCTCAGAAGAGGGGCTATGCTAGAAATGTGTCCATCTCTAACATAATCAGAATTATCAGCTAATAAGGGTAAATTGACATACTCTGGCACACTGGAGGGAGCATCTGAGTGTTTCCACAATTGTACATTGACAGGCTGTAGACATTTCTGATGGAATCACATCATCATGTTCTGATATCCAAGATACACAAAGTGCAACTTGTATGATTTATATATATTTTTTCATATATTTTATAGTTTTCACATGATTTGATGTAATTGTATTGATTAGTTTGTTAAATACACGTAATTTATCTGTTTGATTATTGTACTATGTTTAATACAGTATCTCTTCAGTTTAAACTATAAATGCATGCTGTCCACTCAAGTGGACATCTGAAAAGCTCTTTGAAAAATTTGTTTAAAAATCAAATCAAATCTTGTTTTTCATGCCCTAAGAGCAATAAAAACACAAAGGAAAAAAATCCTGACTGAGGATATCATAATTCATGCATGAAAGGGTTAATGTTTTTGAAAGAAGTCTCTTATTTGTTTGATTAACAATTCAGTAAAAACAGGAATATTGTAAAGAAAAAGTATATTTAAAAAAAAAAGTTTTTATTTGCATTTATTGTGACTGACACAAAGCTGAATTTTCACAAGAAAATTCTAATTTTCTAATAATACACCCTAATGAGCCCCAACTTTTGAATGGTAGAGTATGAAAATGCATTATAAAGATATATTTTATACATCAGAGTATGCATGGTAATGCTTAATTTGCATGATTGTAACCTCAGCTGCTATACATTATAAGAATAACCAATTTTTTTTATAATAAGAACATTATTTATTGGATGTTGATCATGATAATGCATTATACTCTAATTATGCATGAATTATGAAATTATTGCACTATAATGCCTTCAGAATGCATAATATACGTACATTACAGAAATGATTATTCTCCAGATTATGATGTTACAGTAATATTTCTATTAATAATAATAATATTGAATTATATTGCAGTATAAGAAGTGTCTTTTGTTTTGAATAGATTTTATTGTGTAAAAACAGATGAAATTTAGCTGATGCATTTGTGCTTTTGTATGTACTATAACAAAACAAATGGTTTTCAAATGTTTTTGCCCAGTTTCAAAACTTTTTTTTTTCAAACTTTTCATAACTGTGTCCGTCTCACCTCAAGTATTCTCTCGTCATCGATCTCGTTGAACACAGTGCCGTTGATCTGATTGGGTTTCAGCGCCACCCAATTAAACACCGGCATACGGAACTTAGTCTTGATGGGCTTCTTAATCTTCACAGCTACACAACATAACAGAAAGAACACGTCACACTCATGCAAATCACACAAACACACAACATGCAGTCTGATCTACAGAGGGATGTGGAGCTGGTTTGAGAATGGCAGGCACAGATAGGACGGGTTTATCTGCACATATACATGTATGAGGGGTCGTGAGGGGAAATGTGTGAACATGAGACATTTTGTATTGTTGTAAATCACAAATGAGACGTCAATTGTTCTCATGAAGTCACAGGCTTCTCAGATGTTCTCCTGAGAAAAAAAGATGTCTCAAACTGCTCAGAATTGTCAAGATATCAAATCTCTCTAAGAGAAAGATCTGACCTATTCAGTTATGTCTATTTTGATTTATCTTAATAAATTCAGACAAACGTGAGGCAATTACATGAAACCTGGCTGAAAACTGCATCTCTGAGCAACAACATTGTCCTGTGTGTTTAGGAAATGAGACATTGACAGATGCTCAGGGCTGTTTTGGGGTTTACACCATGAGGATGTGACTCAAACAGCGTCTTAGTATGACAATGAGTCAAGTGTTGGGTTTCCTTCGTTTATACAGGTTCATACTTCATAACAACTTCCAAAATGATCCAGTTAATGACTGAATCTGGCAGCAAACACAGATTACAACATGCTTGAATATGGCTAAATTTAAGATCCAGCGACATTAATCTCTGATCAAAGGTGGCAAAGAGGGTGAGAATAGAGTGTCCAGTCCAGATGAGCGTTATGAGCAATATGATGGTGTGATATTAGGCCGAGCAGAAAGGAGAAAAAGTCACAGCATGTATAAAACATTCCTGAATTTACGCAACTATCGTCTTATCTGACGATCATTCGCCTGTAACGACACGGCACACTGTTTCAACATGCAAACACAACACAATCAAACACACTACAGCGGACATGGCATTTTTAGTCTTACTGCTTTATGATGCACATTCATTTATTTCTGATAAAAAGGTGATTTAAAGTCTTTGCATAAATACTTAAAGGGATACACCACTTTTTTTTTTTTTGGAAATAGCCTCCAATTTTGGAATCATTGACTTCCACAAGTAGGAAAAAATATATACTATGGAAGTCAATGAGAGCAGAAACTGTCTGGTTACTGATATTCTTCTAATATCAAAAATCGGCTGAATACATTCGGAAACGGTAAAACCCAACTGTTTAACTCTGGGGGAGTGGTAAAATGACGGTATTTCCAAAAAATGTGGAGTATCCCTTTAAGAAAAGTTTTTTTTTTTTTTTTTTCAAAAGTAAATTGCTTGATATGCACTGACTTTTAGGCTTTTTTTAAGTATGACTTAAGATGAGAAATATATTCAATAGAATTGTGTAAAACAAACTTGAGTGTGTTCCATACTTACGAGTGTTTGTGTCACTGTGCAGTAACATGATGAAGTCCTCAAGGGGGTGATAGAATCACAAAATGTTTTTTGTAGGCCTACCTCTACACAGGGTGTTATCAATGAAGTACTACATAGGTATAAATGACAATTAAACTAACTAGCTAGATCAGCAAGATTTTCTTCAGACTGTTGTTCCACCATATCAATAGAAAAATATTACGAAAATAATATTACAAAGTGACATTGCAATATTTTGTTTTTTAGCAGATACCTTGAGTAACTTAATTTGAAAATAATTAATCATTATAGATTTTTAGAAAGCATCTATATAGGAAATAAAAATACTGAAAACAAATAATAAAATAAACTCTTTAAGTAACCAGTTATAATAGTTATTAAATTAATAGTTATAAAAAATAATCTTTTCACTTGAATTATTGCACTTGCCACATTCCTACTGTTTTGACCCGTTCAATATAACTAAAGCAATAATAATGATGATTTTTATTGTGATTATTTGATACAAATATTAAACCAAATAAGAAAAAAAATAATAAAACCACTGTACTGTAAAATATTATTTTAAAATAATATTTAATAAAACAATATTAATAAGTGTATAGTACAACTATAAATTTAGAGTATAAATATATAATACTAATATTCTTTCATTCTCAAATATTAAACCATTAAGCTTTTATTTTGGCGGAAAATCACTGGGATCCATTTTCCTTTTTATAGGTTTATAATCATATCTCTTTCCAAATCGGGTCAAATGTGAGGCACTGACACACATTGTGTTGTCAAATGCATGTTATAAGTGACCGGAACTCACTTACTGTGAACAGATGGATCATGAGCTTAGCACATGTAGATGACCACTTGACCACTCTGAAACATGCAGTGCATATAGTTATTTAAGGAGGAAATATATGAAATCGCAGCCTTCGTGATGTAATAATTGCACTAATCATGTCACGATTTTGACTATATTTTGATATATCATATCATGCAGCCACAGAGTACCGACAAAACCATGGAAGAACACTTGAAGAGTTCAGATGCAAAAGCCTCTAAATGCCATTTGAAATTTTCTTCTTTAATGATGATTTTGTATATTTAAGTTCAGTAATTTCACTTAAATGACAATTAATAGGTATTACCATTGCCATTTAAGTGAAATCACTGAACTTAAATATACAAGTTTGATAAAAAATGATCATTCTAGAAGAAAATTTCAAATGGCACTTAAAGGCTTTTGCATCACTTACTCTGTGGTGGTAATGCTGAGAATGCAATACATATTTGTGTTGTGTTCCGAATGAAATTGTGCTTTGACTGCTAGAAGCATCTGCGTTTAGATTTACAATTCTCAATGGCAAATAGATCTGTAAATCTGGTGTTGATGTGAATTGTACTGTTGTTTTCCATGAGGTTGCGGTTCATGGCCTGAGCTCTGGAAACAGATTTTGTCTGCTTGTGGACTGGAGTGTAGAAATAAGAGCTTACATCTCATGGAACGTGTGCTCTCATGGGCTGGCATTAGAGTCCTGTTATTTGCTGAACTCTGTAAGCGAGGTCTAAAGAATGTTCCTCTCTGGGTTTTAAACGCTAAGGAAAAGTTCTGCAACGCAGTGTCCAATTTCATGCCCAGTTTCAAGAGGAACAACAGGCAATATAGCTTCAGAGTCGATGTCAGATCGAGATTATAGAGGATCCGAGTGTGTTGACTTAGAGACTAAAATACCATGACCACACACACACACACACGACTAAGCACACACAGACACGACAGCAAACCTACAGTACAGTTTGATGGGTCCCTCTATGGCGGCACAGCAGAAATAAGCAGAGAGAAAGAGCTGATTAAGAGCAGACAAAACACAACCTCTGATTCCAAAGATCTGTTTGTGTTATTTTACTATAGCCTGCATTTCCACAGAAATTCCCAAAGAACCGCATTGTTTTATAAAGATAAAGATCAAGACAGAGGTCCCAGACCAACAAATCATGGATTAAGGCATTTTTTAGTAGCCTAATAATAATTTTAAAAAGACAAGTGAAGACTGAATGAAAATTAATCCGTTGTCAATAAGGTTTCTTACTATCTGAAATATGAAAGAATGCTGAAAATGTAGCCTTGCCATTACAGAAACAATTCACATTTTAACCCCTTAACTGTTACTGTCCCGGTACCGGGACACCTAACTTTACTTCACTATATTTCTATTAAATCCTAATCTAATTATGACAAATTATATATCGTTGGAAAGGTCTAAGACTTCTAAATAGATTTTCTACCCCTGTTTTGTGTTAAAAATTATGTCGGAAGAGTAATTGATGAATTTATGACAAGAGTGCACCTCAAAAAAATCTGCATCATAACATTTTAACCTTTGTCACAAAAAGTCGATGCACCCACTTTTAATCATTGAAACTTCTGTTTTTATGCTAAAAGTTCATAATAAAACATATAATCTAGTATTTTTCAAGTGTTTTCTTTAAAACAAGACCAAACTTGGGTATAGACCATTTCACAAGATGTAAACAACACTGGTCCAGAAGCACTTCCTGTTTCAGTTTTTTTACACTACATACAGTAAAAGCTGGGATAAAATACAACCAACAGAACATTTAAAACTGAATATAAAAGTTAAACAAACATCTTTAAGATGTTTTCTTTACATGTGAAATAAAGAAAACAGTTACAAACTGAAACAGGAAGTGCTTCTGGACCAGTGTTGTTTACATCTTGTGAAATGGTCTATATATTCCAAAGCATTCTTAAATTACAACCATTTAAGTTTGAATAGTGCATTTTAACCCCCATTCTCTCAACCGAGGGGGGGGGGGGGGGGGGGTGACAGCTAAGGGGTTAAAACATATTTAAATAGAAAAGAGTTATTTTAAATTAAAATAATATTTCACTACATTACTGTTTTTACTGTATTTTTGATCAAATAAATGCAGACTTTGATAAACATAAAATACTTTTTCCAAAACATTGAACAGTCTTTCCAACCATAAACTTGAGCATTTTGAAACATCAAGGAATCATATAGTATTTTATGACCACATTTCCAATGTTGTGAACTCACTCACATTATAATAATGCATTCTTACTCAAATTCTCAATAAATGACATGGTGAAAAATACTAACACTGTATATGACAAATAAACACAATGTACCGATCTGATGTAAAATCAAAGAGCTGATATTATGACTCAAGACTTCAGCAGAACAGAAGTGATTCACTTAAGCGTGTTCAGACATTAAACCTGTTACAGGAAACTAAATAAACAGCTTGATCTGTGGTGATTGTTATCGTTCGTCTCAGAGAGGAGACAGGGTGACAGAAACCCAAAGCCATTCTGAACTGACGCGTGAACTTTAAACACAAACTAATGCTATCTTCCACATTCTTAAGCGGTGTGGGGTGTATCTGGGTCTAAATCACTGGGGGGTTTTGTTCATGTGATGTCTCTGCAATACTGTGTCATACTTTGAGCATGTACATGATTGTTATGGTTTTGTATTTAGTGTTGAGCAGGTTCTGTTACCTGCCAGTCCTGAGTTCATGATGACGGTTGGTGATCCGCAGCCTGGAAGTGGAGGGGCCATGGGAGGGGGTGGAGGAGGCATAGGGGCAGATATATCCACACCAGGACCTGGAAGAGGAGGAGGAGGAGGAGGAGGAGGAGGAGGGGGTGCTGGTGCTGGAGCAGCAGAGAGCCCATTTGGTACTTGAAAAGATAAGAGGAAGAGGGAAAAAATATGTTCAATTTTCTGGTCATACTTTAGATTCGGGTCCATTTCACACTATTTACTATGACTTTTGCCTTAGTAGACTCCTAATCACTGCTTATTAATAATAATAATAAGGTAGTTTAACGTCATCCAGTGTCGTGTCATCTCACCCCCATGTCATCCAAGATGTCCATGTCATTCTCTCTTCAGTCGAAAATAAATGAAGGTTTTTGATGAAAACATTCCAGGATTTTTCTCCATATAATGCACTTCAGTGGGAACCAAACGGTTAAAGGTGCAAAAGACAGTTTCAGTACAAACTGCAAACTGTTCAAAGGGCTTTAAACGATTCCAGACGATGAATAATGGTCTTATCAAGCGAAACGATCGGTCATTTAAAAAAAACAAAAACAAAGTTTAAGTTTCATAAGCTCAAATGGTTGCCTTGCTCTGTTCTGTGATGTGCGTTTGTGACTCTCCTGTTGGAACTCATTTATCAAAATGAACAAATCTTTTTTCGTGTCATTTGGCTCATTCAACGAACGAAATGAATGAGTTGACTCTGCAAAAGATTCGTTCATTCTGAAAAAAAAGTTTGAACAGGAGAGTCACAAACGCACATCACAGAACAGAGCAAGGCGACCATTTGAGCTTATAAAACTTTGTTTGTTTGTTTTTCTAAATGAGCGATCGTTTCACTTGATAAGACCCTTATTCATTGTCTGGAATCGTTTAAATCCCTTTGAACAGTTTGCAGTTTGTACTGAAAGTGTCTTTTGCACCTTGAACTGTTTGGTTCCCATTGAAGTCCATTATATGGAGAAAAATCATGGAATATTTTCATCAAAAACCTTGATTTCTTTTCAACTGAAGAAAGAATGACATGGACATCTTGGATGACATGGGGGTGAGTAAATTTATCAGCAAAAGTTTTTTTTAAAAGTGAACGTCTCGGTTACGTATGTAACCCTCGTTCCCTGAGTAGGGAACGGAGACGTTACGTCAGAAGTGACGGAGATTGGGGGTTTCGCATAGAAAGCCAATCCTCTTCGAGTATTAAAACACGAGCCAATGGCATGCAATGCCTTGGGGCTGCGGAAATTTGCATAGCGTACTCCGCCCTACTCCGTGAGTATAAAAGGAGGAAGTGAACGCAACCGCAGTATGTCTTCGCTGAGGAGCCAAGACTGAACTCGGCCTCTACCCAGCGATACAGCAGAAGTGGCAGGGAGACGTAACGTCTCCGTTCCCTACTCAGGGAACGAGGGTTACATACGTAACCGAGACGTTCCCTATCGTAGTCACTTCGAGTTACGTCAGAAGTGACGGAGATTGGGGGTCTGTGCCATCACGCCATCTTCAAGCTGTCTTCCAGTGCCCTGCGAAAGACTGAACCCCGAGCCTTACCTCTTTTTTTTTTTTTTTTTTTTGGGGATCCGACTTTGACACAGGATTACCAAGGTACACTGGGAAACATATCCCGAAGGGACATGCTACCAGCTGCCTACCGAAGGAGGACTTAAGAATACACATATGGCCACATAGGAACGCATATGGAACACTGGAGTACCAACCGCAGGTGGCTACTGATTTAAACTCCAGGGGTGGCAGATGGCTTGCCAAGGGAAGACACATGCTCAGAGAGGCTTACAGTGGATAATACACATGAGACGGTTACCATGGGGAACCGTGCACATGGAGGCACCTAGCTAGCATCCAGAGCAACGCAGTGGTGCCCGCATCGTCGGTGCTGGAGGACTCAAGACTTCAATGGAAGAACTGAGGAAATATCGCACTTATCCAGTCCGGGGAGTGGAGTGGCGAGCAAGCGAAGACACCTGAGCGGATCCAGAACTGGCCGAAACGAGTACGTGAGAGGATACCGGCTCAATTCGCAGATTATAGAATCTGGCGAAGGTGTTGGGTGTCGCCCAGCCTGCAGCTCTGCAGATGTCTGTTAGCGAGGCGCCGTGCGCTAAGCCCAAGAGGAGGCTACACTCCGAGTGGAATGGGCCGTCACACCAAGGGGGCACGGAAGGCCTTGCTGCTGGTAAGACAAAGCAATGGCATCCACTATCCAGTGGGACAGCCGTTGCTTTGAGAGAGCCCTTCCCTTCTGGCTCCCCCCATGACAGACAAAGAGCTGGTCTGAGGTCCTGAAACACTGTGTTCTGTCGACATAGGTGCGGAGAGCACGTACCGGACAGAGCAGTGCCAAGGCTGGGTCTGCCTCCTCCAGGGGCAGCGCTTGCAGGTTCACCACCAGGTCCCAGAGGGGAGTGGTAGGAACCTTGGGCATATATCCAGGCCGGGGTCTCAGGAATACGTGAGAGTAAGCCGGCCCGAACTCCAGGCACACTTCGTCAACAGAGAGTGCGTGCAGGTCCCTTACTCTCCTGATGGATACCAATGCAATCAGGAGTGCTGTCACATAGGACAGGGCAAAAACTCTACCGACTGCAAAGGCTCCAGGGGAGGCCTCTGCAGAGCACCCAGGTCTACTGAGAGGTCCCCAGAGGGCAGGAGGGGAGGGAGGCGGATTTAGCCCCCTCACTCCCCTCAGGAACCTGATGACCAGGTCATGCTTCCCATAGACTTACCTTTCACTGCATCATGACACGCGGCAATGGCCGCGACATAATCCAAAGGGTGGAGGGCGACAGCCTGCGCTCCAACCCCTCTTGCAGGAAGGAAGCATGACTCCGATCGAACATCTCCGGGGGTCTTCTCAGCGAGAAGAACACCAATTGACGAAGAGGTTTCACTTCAACGCATAAAGGTGTCACGTGGACGACGCTCTTGCGGAAGTGATGGTTGCCGCCACCGCAGGTGGCAGCGAACTCAAACCTGCCTCGTCCCGTCCTGGAGCCACACGTGCAGCCTCCAAGATCGGGACGAGGGTGCCACAGAGTGCCCCGTCTCTGAGAGAGTAGGTCCGGTCTCAGAGGAATAGGCCAAGGAGGTGCTGTCGCGAGGAGCAAGAGTTCGGAACCACGTCTTGGTGGGCCAGTAGGGGGCTACCAGCAAGACCTGCTCCTCGTCCTCCTTGATCTTGCACAACACCCGTGCAAGGAGGCTCACTGGGGGAACGCACACTTGCGTGGGCCCCGTGGCCAGCTGTGCGCCAGCGCATCCGAGCCGAGAGAGCCGCGGGTCAGAGAATAACTGGGCGCAGTGGGACGAGTCCCGAGAGGCGAACAGGTCTAACTGTGCCTCCCCGAACTGGTCCCAAATCAGCTGGACCGACTGGGGATGGAGTCGCCATTCGCCGGAGATGGGACGGGCCCGGGACAGCTCGCGGCTGCCCGGTTCCGGTCTCCAGGAATGTAACTGCACGAAGGGACCTCAGGTGCTTCTGACTCCATATCAAGAGGTGGCGGGCGAGCTGCGACAACCGGCGCGAGCGTAGACCCCCCTGGTGGTTGATGTACGCTACTGCCGTAGTGTTGTCTGAGCGGACAAGCACATGCTGGCCCTAGAGCACGCTCGGAAGCGGTGCCGGGCGAGCCGTACTGCCAACAGCTCGAGGCAATTGATGTGCATGAGGCGCTGGGCTCCTGTCCAGGAACCGGCGGCTGCATGCCCATTGCACATGGCACCCCAACCCGTGGTAGACGCATCCGTGGAGACAACGAGATGCCTGGAAACTCGCTGAATAGGGACCCTGTCCGTAAAAAGCTGAGGTTCGACCACGGGAAGAAGGATCGGCGGCACGTCGGAGTCACTGGAACTCGGAGCGAGCCGCGATGCCATGCCCACCTCGGGACTCGATCGCGAAGCCACAGCTGAAGCGGTCTCATATGAAGCAAACCGAGCGGCGTTGCCGCGGCCGCGGATGCCATATGCCCCAGGAGCCTCTGAAATAGTTTCAGTGGAACCGCACTCTTGCCCTCGAACTGTCGAAGACAAGCCAGCAGTGAGTGCGCGCGCTCGTTCGTGAGCTGTGCGGACATGGCGACCGAGTCTATCTCCATGCCGAGAAAAGAGATCCTCTGCACGGGGCAAAGTTTGCTCTTTTCCCGGTTGACCCGAAGGCCCAGACGGGCTAGGTGCCGTAGCACCAGGTCTCTGTGTTCGCAAACCTGAGCTCGAGAGTGTGCTAGTAACAGCCAGTCGTCGAGATAGTTCAGGATGCGAACCCCGTGTTCGCGAAGGGGAACAAGGGCTGCCTCGACGATCTTCGTGAAGACGCGAGGGGACAGAGCTAACCCGAATGGGAGAACGGCGTACTGGTATGCCTGGCCCTCGAAGGCAAACCGAAGAAACGGTCTGTGTCGAGGGAGAATGGAGACATGGAAGTACGCGTCCTTCAGGTCGATCGCTGCAAACCAATCCTGATACCGAACACATTCGAAAATGCGTTTGGCCGTGAGCATTTTGAACGGTAGTCGATGGAGAGAACGGTTCAAAATGCGCAGGTCCAGGATCGGTCGTAACCCACCGGTCTTTCTTGGGGACAATGAAGTAGGGGCTGTAAAGCCCGGACCTCACCTCGGCTGGAGGGACCGTCTCGATTGCACCCTTCGCCAGCAGGGTCGCAATCTCCGCTCTCAAGACTGGGGCATTGCCACCAACCATCGTGGAGCGAACTCCCCTGAAGCGGGGAAGAGACCGTGCGAACTGAATCGCGTAGCCGAATCCGATCGTTCTGATGACCCAGCGGGAACCCCGGGAGCGCTAGCCAGGCTTCCAGGAAGTGAGCCAACGGGGTCATGCGAACCACAGACGTCCCCCCGGAGGGGCAGCGAGGCGGGTCGACCGGCATGCGTGCAGGAGTTACCCCGTCCGGATGCACCGTCGAAACCCGCTCCCCGACAGAAGAGACCAGGGAAGGCAGAGCGTTCCACGGGGGTCTGTTCTGCCGGGGGTCTGGCGACAGAGGGGGAAGGGATTGGCGTAGCCCGGGGACGACACACGCACCCTTCCGCGCCCTCCGAGACAGAGAGGAATGAACGGGGCGACGCACTGGACGTCGTGCGCGCTCATTCCAGTCTGT